CAAGACCCACAAAGGGTCCCCGAGATCCTTTCAAACTACTTCAACAAACAAAACACAAGAGGACCTCCAGATTCTTTCGAATAACTTTAAAAACAAAATGCAAGGGGTTTCCGAGATTCTTTCAAATTACTTAAAAAAAAAGACGTAAGGGCTCGCCCAGATTCTTTTAAATTACTTCAAAAACATTACAAGAGATTCCGAGATTTTTTTAAAATATTGAAAAACAAAAAACCGGGGTCTACGAGATCCTTTCAAACCACTTTAAAAAGAAAAATACAAGGAATCCTCGAGATTCTTTCAAACTAATCTTCAAAAACAAAACACAAGTGGTTCCCGAAATTACTTAAAAAACAAGATACACAAAGGGTCCCCAAGATCCTTTCAAACTATTTCAAAAACAATATATAAGGGGTTTCCGAGATTGTTTCAAAGTACTTTACTTATATATACAAGGAATCCCCGAAATTCTTTCAAATTAATACTTCAAAAACAAAACACATGTGATTCCCGAAATTGGTTTAAATTACTGCAAAAACATTACAAGCGATTCCCGTTATCCTTTTAAAATACTTAAAAAAAATACAAGGAATCCCCGAGATTCTTTCAAACTATTTCAAAAACAAACAAAATATAAGGGGTTTCCGAGAATCTTTCAAAGTAGTTTAAAAACGACAAACAAGGGCTTCTCAAGATTCTAATAAATTGCTTCAAGAACAATATACAGAAAGATCTCCAAGATTCTTTCCAATTACTTCAAAAACAGCGAGACTTCGAGATTATTTCAAACTAAATACTTCAAAAACAAGACAAGGAATCCCCGAGATTCTTTTAAATTACTTCAAAAACTTGATAAGGGATCCTCTAGATCCGTTTAAACTACCTAAAAAACATAAGAGAAGTGATTCCCGAGATTCTTTCAAATAACTTCAAAAACAAAAGACAAGGGATCCCCGAGATTCTTTTAAACTAAGTACTTAAAAAACATAAGACATGGGGTTCCCAAAATTACTTCAAAAACAAGGCCCACAAAGGGTCCGCGAGATTTTTTCAAACTACTTCATAAACAAAACACAAGGGGACCTCCAGATTCTTTCAAATAACTTCAAAAACAAAACACAAGTGGTCTCCGAGATGCTTTCAAAATACTTTAAAAACAAAACACAAGGGATCCCCGAGATTCTTTTAAACTAAGTACTTAAAAAACATAATATGTTGGGCTCCCGAAATTACTTCGAAAACAAAACCCACAAAGGGTCCCCGAGAACCTTTTAAACTACTTCACAAACAAAATATAAGGGGTTTCCGAGATTCTTTCAAATTACTTCAAAACCTAAACACAAGTGATCCCCGAGATACTTTCAAATTACTTAAAAAATAAGACAAACGGTGTCCCCCAGATTCTTTTAAATTACGTCAAAAACATGACAAGGAATCCACGAGATTCTTTCAAATAACTTAAAAAAATACAAGGAATCCCCGAGATTCTTTCAAACTACTTCAAAAACACAACACAAGTGGTTCCCGAGATACTTTCAAATTATTTCAAAAACAAGACCTACAAAGAGACCCCGAGATCCTTTCAAACTACTTCACCAACAAAACACAAGGGGCCTCCAGATGGTACTTCAAAAACATTACAACGGATCCCTGAGATTCTTTTAAACTATTAAAAAACAAAAGACACGGGGTTCCCGAGATCCTTTCAAATCACTTCAAAAAAACATATATACAAGGAATCCCCGAAATTCTTTCAAACTAATACTTCAAAAACAAAACACATGTGATTCCCGAAATTGGTTTAAATTACTTCAAAAACATTACAAGTGATTCCCGATATCCTTTTAAACTATTAAAAAACAAAAAACACTAGGTTGCCGAGATCCTTTCAAACCACTTCAAAAAAAAAAAAATACAAGGAATTACCGAGATTCTTTCAAACTAATACTTCAAAAACAAAACACAAGTGGTTCCCGAAATTACTTCAAAAACAAGATACACAAAGGATCCCTGAGATACTTTCAAACTATTTCAAAAACAAACAAAATATAAGGGGTTTCTGAGATTCTTTCAAATTACTTCAAAAACAAGAACCACAAAGGGTCCCCTTGATCCTTTCAAACCACTTCAAAAAAAAAAAAAATACAAGGAATCCCCGAGATTCTTTCAAACTAATATTTCAAAAACAAAACACAAGTGGTTACCGAAATTACTTAAAAAACAAGATACACAAAAGGTCCCCAAGATCCTTTCAAAGTACTTTAAAAACGAGACACAAGGGCTTCTCAAGATTCTAATAAATTGCCTCAAGAACAATATACAGAAAGATCTCCAAGATTCTTTCCAATTACTTCAAAAACAGCGAGACTTCGAGATTATTTCAAACTAAGTACTTCTTCAAAAACAAGACAAGGAATCCCCGAGATTCTTTTAAATTACTTCAAAAACATGATAAGGGATCCCTGAAATTCTTTTAAACTACTTAAAAAACAAAAGAGATGGGGTTCCCGAGATTCTTTTAAACTACTTCAAAAACAAAACACAAGTGGTCTCCGAGATACTTTCAAATTACTTTAAAAACAAGACACAAGGGGTCCTCCAGATTTTTTAAAATCAATTCAAAAACATTACAAGGGACCCCCGGAGATTCTTTTAAATTATTAAAATACAAAAGACAGGGAGTTCCCGAGATTACTTCAAAAACAAGATGCGCAAAGGGTCCCCGAGATCCTTTCAAAGGGCTTCCCAAGATTCTAATAAATTTCTTTAAGAACAATATACAGAAAGATCTCCAAGATTCTTTCCAACTACTTCAAAAACAAAACACAAAGGGTCTCCCAGTTCTTTCAAATTACTTACTTTACAAAAAAGACACAACTGGTCTCCGAGATTGTTTTAAATTAATTTAAGAACAAGACAAGGGATCCCCGAGATTCTTTTAAACAACTTAAAAAATGAAAGACAAGGGATTCCTGAGATTCTTTCAAACTGCTTCAAAAATAAAACACAAGGTGTCCCCGAGATTCTTTTAAATTGCTTCAAACACACAATTTCACGGATTGCGGGACGTGATTATTTCAGACTACTTCAAAAACAAGACAAGGAACCTCAGTTTCTTTCAAATTACTTACTTCACAAGACACGAGGCGTCTTCGAGATTCTTTTAAACTACTTTAAAAATTAAAAGACAAGGGGTTCCTGAGATTCTTTCAAATTATTTCAAGAATAAGACAAGGAATCTCCGAGATTCTTCCAAATTACTTAAAAAACAAGCACAAGGGGTCTAATACACTGCTTAAAGGACAAAACATAGAAAGATCTCCCAGATTCTTGTAAATTGCTTCATCGATTGCGGGACTTCGAGATTATTTCAAACTACTAAGTAAGTAGGTACTTCAGAAACAAGACAAGGAATCCCCGAGATTCTTTACAACTACAAAAATAAAACACAAGGGGTTCCCCAGATTCTTTTAAATTACTTTAAAAACATAACATTACAAGGGTTCTTAAGATTCTTTCAAATTATTATTTCAAAGACAAGACATCACGAACAGGGGCTGGTGGGACTATATGAAAATCGAGAATTTTCTATACTTTTAAATGAAGTAAAACTTCGGTTCACAAGTCCCATCTGCCTCTGGTAAAGCGCCTCAGATTTGAAAAAGGAGGCCATTTTGTTCGAATTCCGTGTTCAAAAGTTTCAGTTTTCACGTTGAAGTCTTCGATTTCGTGACAGAAAATACACATACGACATTTTGCAATAATGGATCAAGCGACAACTTTTCTTCTTCGGGAAAGTTTTTCTAAATTCAGAATTACCAAAAGGTGGCTTTTTCCCGTTCGTAATATACACCGAGCGCAAAAAAAACGGCCACCCTGAAATATTTCGCAAAACCTCTTTAAAATAATTAATTAAACTAGTGATTGTTATTTTATTAAAGAACCATTCATTATTGACACAGGATGTAAAAATCAATTAAAAAAAGGAGACAAATAAATACAAAATTAAATTAAATTTAATTTAAGAAAGTACTAACAAAAACTGGATGGCCGGTTTTTTGTCGGTCAGTATAGTTCCTTCATTATATCCTAGTTCAATGATTAATAACAATAATAACATGGAAATTATCCAACGTCACCTTGGAGGGTTACCTGCTGGTGGTAGTAACACGTGTCCAGTCCGTGTGACCGGAAACGGAATTAAATGGCGCGCGGAAAAGCTAACAGGTAAGTAGTGACACGCAAACGGTTATCGCTAATGATGATATCGGAATATTACATCGCTGAGTGAGTTATTTACAGGTACGTGAGGATTTATTGCCTGGCTAATTAGCATCGAATGTGAAAGCTGGTGAAAATCATGACTAATCACTGCGAAACAAAAACATTTTGAGTACATTGTTAAAATTAGTACAGTAAACACTTTTCCGTATGTACATATAATCAAGCAAAACTGAAAAAAACGCAAAAAATGGCCCCTTCAATGTGGTTCAAAATGCTCACTATCCCTAATACATATGTATCCAGATACTTCGTAAGCTCATTCCAAAGCAAATGAACCGAGAAGTTAACAAACGGGAAATTGATCAGAACAGCTGCATTCAGAAAAGAATTGTTGAATCAATTGAGCTTTAGACTGAACTAACTGAATTACTGTGGATTACAGTGAATTTGTATCATTAACCCATTACACTTTGTTTGTAGAACTTAATCCAACTTTGAATTTAAATTCAACTAGAATCAATTTTTGCATGTTAATTTTCACCACACGACACCACGACGGGATCAATTTTTCTAAACGCAATCATTTATCGTCGCACTAATTTAAAAACCCATAAACTGAAATCCACCCCCGACACCGATACCTCCTAATTTCTTCCATTACGCAACCCCTTGCCACCTTACGCCCCTCACTCGACACGTATATCAGAAAAAGTATTCACACTTCCTGTCAATTTAGGTCACGATTGATTTATGGATTTTTAACGCCAATCAAAACTGACCTGATTCTCGTTATTTTCCACGGCGAAGTAGCCAGTGACGGCTACGACTTCGTGGAGGAGATCCTGATGGGCACCTGCTTCCGCAGCGGCGTCCTTCCCGTTGCTTTTCGGAGAGGCTGCGATCGTGGGGAGGGCGCAACACCAGATCAAATGGCTGGCGATGTGGCGGAACTGTAACGAGATACCCTCGGCACCGAGCACTTCCTGGAAGCAAAAAAAGAGAAAAAATGAGGAGCGAGCGGGAGAAGTCGATCTATCATTCGGCCGGGAAAATTGAATTGTGGTTATTGTGTGTCTTAGTTTAACCCAACAGTCGGTTTGTTAGTTACGGACGGAGAGGTCTCTGGAGGATCGGCCGTGCTTTACGGGACACACGCTCCATCCCATGGGGGTTAATCAAGTGCGGCGGGACCGCCAATGAACACATATCAATCTCACGCGCGGAGGTTAGGTCATCTGTGCAAACTTATGGGTCGACAGGGAGTAGGCAAATAGGGACGCGGATTATGAGTCAAAAAAAAATGACTACATTATTATGTTAATCATTCGTATTGTTTATTAAGCAACGATGAAAAATTCATTTTCTTTCAATAAATCCATCAAAAAATCAGCAAAAGAAGGAATTATAAATGGAATGAACAAATAAAAGCTTGAAAAAACCACTCGCTGCAGTGACACTACAACTTCTGTAAGTTTTAATTTTTAATTTCAACGGCCCGAGATGATGGCACGATGTTCTTGTGTAAAAACGACCGCAGTTTTTTAATTAATGTCCTAAGTGAATGTAATGAACGACACTTGTTTATCATTCAACTTTGTGCTTTAGCTTATTACACAGAAGGCCGAAATCCCGGAAAAGTTGATGTCGTAAAATCAACGTCATCATCTGAAGTTCGCTTTTAAATAAGTTATTTTAAGTGATCTTTGGTCAAATATTATTACTTACTAAAAGAATATGTTTATTTAATACTTACTTTATGCGTTTATTTGATGAACTAAGTACATTGAATTAAAAGTTGAAGATAAATCCAGTGTAAATATTTGGGGGTGGGGATTTGTTCTTGCGAAAAACGCACAAAACTCCTCTTGGATTTTTTTGTTAGTACAAAAGTACTTTAATTTAGATAGCTATAGTTTAACATTGATACCATTGATACGATATTTCCAGCAAAAGATTAATCATTTTTGATTATCACTACAATAAACTATTTCATTCGTAATTTTTTTGCCATGTACCATTCCGAACATTTTAAATACGATTGAATTTGAAGGTTTTATGATGACGTCATTAAAAAAAAATCATTATCAAACCAAATTTTCCGAAAATCTTGTTCTGGACCATTACTACTTGTTTGTTGGAATGTTTTTCGAATCAGCTTGTAGAAATCTAAGGTCATTTTCAATTTGTACGAATTTTTTCGGCTTCATTTCTTCGAAAATTTTAACAATTTTTCCAAAAGAAATAAAATGAAAAATGAGTTTTTGTGAAATTAAAAAAAAAAAATTATCCAACCGAATTTTTCGAAAACCTTCGACTGTAACCATTTACACTTTGTATTTTTCGAATCGGCTCGTCGAAATCTATCACCCAGATATTTTTTATTTTTGGAAACTTTTCAAAAATTTCAATTTTTCAATTCGAAAATTACACGAAGGTGTAGATTTTGATTTACGATGTCATTTTTTGCTCCATTGCTGCAAAAATTCCAACAATTTTTTCAGAAAATGGCAATTTTAGAGATAGGACCATTATTACTTTGAGTGTGAATAGTTTGATCGTTTTTCGAGTACCTACCATTCGAAAATTATTCAAAGACATTTATTTATCTTCTTTAGATTTCGAATTGTAGAAGTTATTTTCAGCTTCATATCGTCAAAAGTTTCAACAATTTTCCAGAATCGATAAAATGAAAAATGATGATTTTCGACATATTTAAAAAATATCAATATCCAACCAAATTTTCGAAAACTTTGGGACCATTAACACTTTATATTTTTCGAATCATTGTGATAATTTTTGGATAACTTTTGAAAAATGTCAGATTTTCAAGTATGATTTTTTTGGCCGTTCTTCGAACACACCTCGAAAATTACCTAAAAACATGTTCTTGTAGATTTCGATTTGAAGAAGTAATTTTTGGCTTCATTTTTTCGAAAATTCCAACAATTTTTCCAGAATCCATAGAATGAAAAATGAAATTTTTCGAAAATCTTGGTCAAGGACCATTAACACTTTATATTTTTCGAATCAGCTCCTTGAGATCTATTTCCCAGAATTTTTGAGGATTTTTAGATAACTTCAAAATCTAAATTTTTCAATGATGAATACGTATGAATTTTTTAACTGTCCCTAGAACACTTTTCGAAAATTATTCACGACATTTTCTTGTCGATTTTAACTTTAGAAGTTATTTTCGGCTTCATATCTTCGAAAATTGCATTTTCGAGAAAAAAATTCATTATCAAATCGAATTTGTCGAAAATTTTGGTCCGGGACCATTATAACTTCGGATATGTTTTTCGAAATCTATATCCCAGCGTTTTTTTAATTCTAAGCAACTTTTCAGAAATCTCAGTTTTTCGATGAATATTTTTTCCGTTTTTCGAACATCATTCGAAAATTACCTAAGGCATTTAATTATTTTCTTATAGATTTCGGCTGGTAGAAGTTATGTTCGACTTCATTTCTTTTAAGATTCAAGCAATTTTTCAAGAATCCATAAAATGAAAAATCACAATTTTCGATAATTGAAAAAAAAAATCAACATCAAACAATTTTTCGAAATTTTTTTTAATTTTATACAATTTTTCAAAATTTACGCCCAGGTATGAACTTTTTGAACGTCCCTCGACTACTTTTCAAAAATTCCCCAAGGACATTTTTTTGTGGATTTCGACTTATAGAAGTTGTTTTCGGCTGCACTTCTTCGAAAATTCTGACAATTTTTCTAGAATCGATAAAAAGAAAAATGGCCATTTTCGAGAAAAAAAAAAAAACGAGTCAGTCCGTCGAAGAATTTCTTCAGGATTTTTAGAAAACTTTAAAAATCTCAAATTTTCCATTTTAATTTTTCCAGAAAATGAAAAATGACAATTTTTGAGGTATCTATTTAAAAAAATCATTTTCAAATAGTACTTTGTTGAAAATCTTCGTTCGAGACCATCAACAAGTCGTGTTTTTCGAATTAGCTTATGGAGAAAATTTTTTGGGCACTTTTAGGCGACAATTTTCCAGACAAAAAAAAATCACTATCAAAACGAATTTTTTGAAGATCTTGATAATACTTTGTTTTTTGAATCAGCTCGTAGAGATCTATATCCCACATTTTTTTTATTTTTAGAGCAATTTTTCAAAAATTACCTAAAGACATTTTCGTACTGATTTTAACTCGAAATCTTATTTTCGGCTCCATTTCTTCGAAAATTTCAACAATTTTTCAAAAATCTCAACTTTTCAATGAATATTTTGACCTTTTTCGAAGACAGTCCGCAAATTACCCAAAGACATTTATTTTTTTGTACATTTCGACGTGTGGAAGTTATTTTGGCTTCATTTTTTCGGAAAATCTAACAATTTTTCCAGAATCCTTCGAGATATTAAAAAATTTCAATATCAAACCGATTTTTTTTTTTGAAAACCTTGCCCTGGGACCATTCCAGAATTTTTGAGAATTTTTAATCAAATGTACAAAAATCTCAATTTTCCAATGAATATTTTGATCATTTTTCGAAAACTCTCTAAAGACATGTCCTTGTAGATTTCGACCTGTAGAAGTTATTTTTGGGTTCATTTCTTCGAAAATTCCAACAATTTTTCCAGAGTCCATAACATGAAAAATGAAAATTTTCATGATATTTAAAAAATTTCAATGTCAAACCGAATTTTTCCAAAAACCTTGGTCAAAGGCCATTGACAGTTTATATATTTCGAAACAAGCCGTCCAGATCTATATTCCAAAATTTTTTGAGGATTTTTAGACAACTTTTCAAAACCTTAATTTTCAATGATGAAAATTACTCAGACATTTTCTTGTCAATTTGGCTTGAGAAGATTTTTTGTTCAATTTTTAAGCAACTTCTTAAAAATCTCAATTTTTCAATGAATTTTGTAACCGTCCCTCGTAAATTTACCGAAGGACATTTTCTTGTGGATTGTGACTTGCAGAAGTTATTTTCCGCTACATTTCTTCGAAAATTCCAACAATTTTTTCAGAATCGATAAAATGAAAAATGGTATTTTCGAAAAAAAAAATTATGAAATTGAATTTTTCGAAAATCTTGGTCAGGGACTATTAATATTTTGGGCATGTTTTTCGAAATCAGCTCGTAGAGATCTATATCTCTATCGCATTTTTACTTATTTTTAGGCAACTTTTCAGAAATCTTAATTTTTCAATGAATATTTTGACAGTTTTTCGAGCACCATTCAAAAATGACGTAAAGGCATTTATTTTTTTGTAGATTTCGGCTTGCAGGAGGTATTTTAGCTTCATTTCTTCGAAAATCCCAACAATTTTTCCAGAATCGATAAAATGGAATATGGCAATTTTCGACAAAAAAATATTATCTCATCGAATTTTTCAAAAATTTCGGTCAGTGACCATTATTACCTTGGGGTATGTTTTTTGAATCAGCTCGTAGAGATCTATATATCAGGTTTTTTAAATGTTTAGGCAACTTTTCAAAGATCTCAATTTTCTTGAATATTTTGACCGTTTTTCGAGCATCATTTGTAAATTACCCAAAGGCATATATTTTTTTGTAGAATTCGGCTTGTCGCAGTTAATTTTGGCTTCATTTTTTTTGACATTCTAACAATTTTTCCAGAGTCAATAAAATGAAAAATGACGTTTTGTATTTGACAAAAATCGGTATCAAACCGAATACTTCGAAAACCTTGGTCTGGGATCATTTTATATTTCGAATCGGGTCGTCGAGATCTATAATCCCGAATTTTTTGAACATTTTTAGACAACTTTTCGAAGATTTCAATGTCTTATACTCCCAAATATATTTTTTAACTCATCCAAAATTACCCAAGGACATTTTCTTGTAGATTTTGACTTGAGAAGTTATTTTCGGCCCCATTTCTTCCCAAATTCCAACAATTTTTCCAGAATCCATTAAATGAAAAACGAAAATTTTTCTAGATATTTAAAAAATTTCAATGTCAAACCGAATTTGTCGCAAACCTTGATCGAGGGCCATTAACACTTTATATTTTTCGAATCAGCTCTTCGAGATCTGTATTCCAAAATTTTTTGAGGATTTTTATACAATTTTTCAATTATGAATACGTCCCTAGAACACTTTTCGAAAATGACTCATACATTTTCTTGTCGATTTGGCTTGAGAAGTTATTTTCGGCTCCATTCTTCGAAAATTCCAACAATTTTTTCAGAATCGATAAAATGAACAACTGCATTTTCGAAAAAAAAAAAAAAATCATTATGAGATCGAACTTTTTGAAAATCTTGGTCAGGAATTATTACTATTTTGAGTATGTTTTCGGTCCCATTTCTTCGAAAATTTCAACAATATTTACAAAATCGTTAAAATTGGAACAGACTATTTTCAAGACAAAAAAAAAAAATCATTATGAAATCGAATTTTTAGCGAAATTTTCAACAATCTCAATTTTTCAATGAATATTTTGCCTGTTTTTCGAGCATCATTCGAAAAAAACCCTAAAGACAATTATTTTATTGCAGATTTTGTAAAAAGACAATTTTCGAGATCCACATTTAAAAAAAATTCAATATCAAACCGAATTTTTTGAAAACCTTGGTATGGGACCAACACTTTACATTTTTCGAATCAACTAATCGAGAATTTTTTGAGGATTTCTTGGCAACTTTTCAAAAATCAAAAATTTGAGATTTAAAAAACTATAGGTACACAAATTTTTTAGCATTTTTCGGGCAAATGTCTTTGGGTAATTTCCACCCAAAGATATTTTCTTGTAGAATATGAAATATGTATTTAAATTTTTTTTTTCAGTAAATTCATTTTCAAAACGAATTTACTGAAAAATATTGGACCATTTGTGAGATCTATCTCAGAATTTTTTGACTTTAAAAAATTCTTAAATTTTCAATTCCCCCTCCCCATGAATTTTTTTATCGTTTTCAAGCACCCTTTGAAAACTATCTGAAGACATTTTCTTGTAGATTTCGATTTATAGAAGTCATTAGATTTTTGGAAGCAATGAACAAATCAACTCTTAACCAGTTTCCATTTTCACAAGAACTTTTTATACTACCAAAAAATCGATTTCGTAATTTTTAAGATAAAAAGTAAAATTATTTTAATAATTTTATGTAAGGTTTAGTTAGTGTTTTGTCATCTACATCCTATTGATACAAATAGATCTAAAATTTTAAAACAATCTGTTCAGATATCCCTCGCCTAATAAAATCGCTAAACAAATAGAAACGGAGGTCCTACTTTTACATAATATTCCATTATTTATGAAACGCCGACAAAATACGACATCGGTGTTTCTTTGTAATATTTCGTAGCGTACGCTTGGGAAGTAAAAACAAATAACCAAATTTTACTATTTGTATAAAATTTTAAAAAGGGATTACCCGAATTAAAAAACCATGTTCCACTCTAAATTTAACGTGGGATTAAGTTAGCACTATTCTGAGATGTTGTCACCTTTTAGTGAGCAGTTTTAATATCGATGACATCCTAAAGACGAACGAGACATCATAAAACTACAAAAAATCAGCTTAATATCATTTTTGGTAACAGAGAGCTGACAGTTCAATTACGAAAAAAAAAAACAATTTGATTTCATATTTAAAGAAATATGCTAAATAAAAACAAATACGTTGTTTAAGAGCGATCACAACCCCCGCAAACTCGAAATTCCGGAACGCTTGTTAGAATAACCATCTTTCATTATCTCGTTTACAAAAAGCATCAATTCCGCAACGTTTCCTTAAAATCTCAGTTCCTGCGAAACAAGCAACAGAAGCAACCACTTAAACAAACAATTCCAATAACAATCCCGCCTAAAACCGAGCACGATATGAAAATTACATCAGTGTTGACACAACAAAAGAAACAAGACGGGTTTAATTAGAGAATACACGACCAAACAAACAAGGAAGCCTCTCTCTATGGCGATACTGCCGTCTCTTGTCTCGGCCCCAGAGACCTCCCACAAAATTAACTTCAACTCGGTACAAAGCTAATTTCCAATTGGAAGCAAACTGATTCAATTAAAACGCGAGCAGCGGCGGCGTATCATCTACTGCAAACATGGTTAGAGGCCGATCTGTAAACAACGTTCGTTCCCCTTTGCAAATTCGTGTTGATTTTGATGTTGTACGAATTGGAAATGAAAAGTACTGACCTGGAACTTGATCAGATCTAGTTCGGCGATGCGGCGGAGAAGCTTGAACGTGGCGGTGGCTAAACCGAGGCAGGGGGCGGGGATGATCGGAGGCGACTGCCCCTCGACGCGCGGAGAGGAGTCCGGGGGCAGGAGCGTGCCGTAGAGCATGGAGACGGCGCCGAGCAGCTCGGTACCGTGGAGGGTACTCACCTGAAAAAAAGAAAAAAAAAAAAAATGGTCCAAGGTTATCAACAAAACTCCCTCCCTTAAATACAGCCGAACGAATCAAGCTTTCTTAAATAAGTATACAATTTTTTTGCAATTTTTGTTTCTTATAAAAGTTTTAATATAAAATATTTTTTTCAAAGTTCAATTTATCTGTTTTTTTTTTGTCCTCAGATTTTCTATTTTCTATTTTTCGAGTTTTCAATTATAAAAAATGAATGCAAATGAAAACTCAAATGTTGTAAAATTGAAGAAACAAAAAAAAAAATATTAAAAAAAAAAACAAAAAATTATACAATCAGAACATTGAAAAAACGAAAACTTAAAAATTCTACAAGTTGAAAAACCGAAATATTGCTGACCGAAAAATCCAGAAGTTTTTTTTATATTTTAAAATATTTCAGTTTTTGATTTTCCAACTGTTAAATGTTCAATTTTTAAATGTTGCAAAATTTCGATTGCAATTTCATGTTTTCAATTTTTCGATTGGATTATTTGTTTCTTTATTTTTTCAACACTTTGATTTTACAATTTTTCTTTTTTTAATGTGAAAATTTGCATGTTTTGAATTTTTTTTTTCATTTAGGTAAATAGGTAAAAATAAAATTGTTCAGTTTTTAAATTTTGAAAATTTTTCAATTTTTCAAATTTTCGTTTTGCAATTTTTTGTTAAATTTTTTTATTTTTACAATTTTTCGATTTTTCAATGTGCCGATTTTATAATTTTTTGTTTCTTCAATTTTATGACCCATAAGTCTACGAGTTTTCATTTTAAAATTTTTCAGTTTTTCGATCTGCAATTTCATAAGTTTTGAATTTCTAATTTTTCAATTTTTCGTTTCGTTTTTCTTTCTTTATTTTTTCAGTATTCTGATTTTATAATTTTTCTTTTTTTAATATGAAAATTTGCATGTTTTGAATTTTTCAACTTTTCGATTTGTATTTTTTCGGTTTTTCAACTTTAAATTTTTTAATTTTTAGTTTTTTTATTGTTCCGATTTAATCATTTTTTCTTTTTTCGTTTTCAATTTTAAAAATTTACAACTTTTCACTTCTTCAATTTTTCGATTTGCAATTATTCATTTCTTCAATTTTTACTTTCGGTTTTTTATTTCCTTTAGTTTTATAATATTTTGAGATTTCAATGCTCCGATATTATAATTTATTTTTTCAATTCAATTTTAAATTTTTCGAATTGAAAATTTGCAATTTTTCATTTTTTTGTTTCTTCAATTTTATGACATACGTATGACTCTTCGAGTTTTCATTTTTAAATTTTTCAGTTTTTCGACTTCCCAACTTTTTCAGTTTTTAAATTTTGCAATTTTTGAATTTTCAATTTCAAGAGTTTTTAAATTTTAATTTTTCATTTCGGTTTTTTATTTTCTTTATTTTTTCAATACATATTATGATTTTATCATTTTTCTTTTTTCAATGTAAAAATGTTTGAATTTTTGAATTTTTTCAATTTTCCGATTTGCAATTTTTCGGTTTTTCAACTTTTAGATGTTTTAATTTTTGCTTTTTTTTGTTTTCTCATTTTCAATTTTTTCAATTTTTCGATTTGCAATTTTCCAATTCTTCAAATTTTTGATTTGCAATTATTCATTTCTTCAATTTTTCCTTTTGGTTTCTTATTTTCTTTATTTTTATATTTTGATATTTCAATGCTTGGATATTATAATTTATTTTTTCAATTCAATTTAAACTTTTTAAAACCACGGAGTTTCAAACTGAAAGTTTTCAATTTTTCATTTTTGTTTTGTTTCTTCAATTTTATGACATCCGTATAACTCTTCGGGTTTTCATTTTTAAATTTTTCAGTTTTTCGATTTCCCAACTTTTTCAGTTTTTAAATTTTGCAATTTTTGAATTTGCAATTTCAAGAGTTTTCAAATTTTAATGTTTCATTTCGGTTTTTTATTTTCTTTATTTTTCCAATATTATGATTTTGTCATTTTTCTTTTTTAAATGTAAACATTTTCAATTTTTGAATTTTCTCAATTTTTCGATTTGCAATTTTTCGGTTTTTCAACTTTTAGATGTTTTAACTTTTGCTTTTTTTTGTTTTTTCATTTTCAATTTTTTCAATTTTTCGATTTGCAATTTTTCATTTCTTCAATTTTTCGTTTCGGTTTTTTTGTTTCGTTTTTTCAATATTCTGATTTTACAATTTTTCTTTCTTTAATATGAAAATTTTCGATTTTGCAATTTTTCGGTTTTCAACTTTTAAATTTCAAATTTTTCAATTTTTCCGTTTCGGTTTTTTATTTTCTTTATTTTTTCAATACACTGATTTTATAATTTTCCTTTTCGTAATATGAATTTTCCCAATTTTTTGGTTTTTCAACTTCTAGAATTTTTAATTTTTCTTTTTCCAATATTTCGGATTTTATAAATTTTTGCCTTTTTTTATTTATAATTTTTTCAATTTGTCGATTTGCAATTTTTCGTTTGGGTTTTTTGTTTCTCTTATTTGTGAATTTTTAGATTTTTCAACTTTTCATTTCTGTAATTTTTCGTTTCGGTTTTTCTGCTTTGTTTTTTCAATATCCCGATTTTACAATTTTTCTTTTTTTAATATGAAAATTTTCGATTTTGCAATTTTTCAGTTTTTCTACTTTTAAATTTTCTAATTTTTCGTTTTTTCAATGTTACGATTTAAAATTTTTTTACCCTTATCAATTTCAATTTTTTCAATTTTTCGATTTGCGATTTTTCATTTCTTCTTGTTTCAATAGTCTGATTGTAAAATTTTTCGTCTTTCAATTTGAAATTTTTCAATTTTTGGTATTTCGGTTTTAAAGTTTTTTAAGTTTTCGTTTTTTCAATGTTTCGACTATAATTTTTTTCTTTTTTTCAATTACAATTTTCCGATTTGCCATTTTTCAATTTTTCGTTTTTCTTTTGTTTCTTCAATTTTACAACATTCGAGTTTTCATTTTAAAATATTTGCAATTTCACGAGTTTTTAATTTTTAGTTTCTTCAATTTTCCAATTGTTTATTTTTCATTTCTTCTTTTTCTGCTTCTCTATTTTTAAAGTTTTTTATTTTTCGGTTTTTCAACTTTACGATTTTAATTTTTTTTTCATTTTTCCATTACTAGATTTTAAAAGTTTCTAATTTATTCGATTTCTCGCGTTTTCGATTTTTAATCTTTGAATTTCTCGATATTTAATTTTTCAATTTTCCGATCTTTCGATGTTCCAATTTTCCTACATTGCAATTTTGACGAATCTATAATTTTTCGATTTTAAAATTTTTGGGTTTTCCAATTTTTCGATTCGAATCGTTTTTCCTTCTTTCCAATTTTTCGATTCATTGTTTTTTTATTTTTTAAGTTTCTCGATTTTCCAACTTCTGGATGTTTTTCGTTCTTTCAGTTTTTCGATGGAAAGTGGAAAATCAAAAAATTGTCTCTCCACTTTTTCGATTTTGTGATTTTTTTTTAAGTTTTCCCATTTTCAAATTTTTCTGATTTTTTAATTTTTTTTTTGTAATTTTTCGATTTTTCAACTTTTCGAATAAAAAAAAAACATTGAAAAAATGTAAAATTGAAGAATCAAAAATAAAAAAAAAACGAAGTGGTGTAAAACCGAAACACTAGGAATTTGGAATAAATTAAATAAAATTAAAACTTTGAAAGATCAAAAATTGTAAATGAAGGACTTGAAAACTTAAAGAAAGAAAAATTGAAAAAACAAAATACTGTACATGGAAATATTGAAAATTAAAGAAATCTGAAAATCGAATTTTTAAGAAATCAAAAAATTGCAAAACTGAAAAACTTAAAAATTGGAAAATCGAGAAATTGAAAAATAAAAATCGACAACTTGAAAAATTGAGGAAATGAAAAATCAAAAATTGGAAAATCGAAAAAGCAAATACATATTGTAAATGGAAATACATTGAAATTAAGAAATCGGAAAATCGGATGATTAAGAAATCCAAAAATTGCAAAACCGAAAAATTTAACATTTGGAAAATCGAGGAATTGAAAAAACAAAGATTGAAAATTTTGATTTTGTAATTTTTTTTTCAGTTTTCCCAATTTCAAATTCCTGTGATTTTTTAGTTTTTTGATTTGTAATTTTTCGATTTTTCAACTTTTCAAATAAAAAAAACATTGAAAAATTGAAGAATCAAAAAAAAAAACGAAGAAGTGTAAAACCGAAACACTAGGAATTTGGAATAAATTAAATAAAATTAAAACTTTGAAAAATCAAAAATTGGAAATGAAGAACTTGAAAACCTGAAGAAAGAAAAATTGAAAAATCGAAAAAGTGCAAAATCGAAAAAGCAAATACATATTGTAAATGGAAATACATTGAAATTAAGAAATCGGAAAATCGGATGGTTAAGAAATCCAAAAATTGCAAAACCGAAAAATTTAAGAATTGGAAAATCGAGGAATTGAAAAAACAAAGATTGAAAATTTTAAAAATGGCATAAACGAAAAATTAGAAAAGCGAAAGAAACATTGGAAAAATTAAAAAAATTAAACAAAAATGAGAACTTGTAATATAAAATGGAGAAAATAGTACATGAAAAATTGAGGAAATGAAAAATAAAAAAATCGAAAAATTAAAAATTGAGAAAATGAAAAATCGAAAAAAAAGTAATATCGAAAGATTGTAGAACTGACAAATTATAGAATTGAAAAATTACAAACTGGAAAATTGAAAGAACGAAAAATTGAAAAATTTTGAGGTCGAGAAATTGAAAAAAACAAAAAATTGTTACATTAAATCGAGAAAATGAAAATTAAAAAATTGGGAAAATGAAAAATAAACATCAAGATCTTGAAAAATTGAGGAAACGCAACATTGAAAAATCAAAAAATTGCAAAATTCAAAAACCGCAAATCGAAAACTTGAAAAAATTAAAAACTATGAAACTGAAACAATTTATCGAAAAAATGAAGAAAAGAAAAAACGAAAACCTGTGATATCAAAAAAATTATTCAAAGGTAAATTAAATCCAGGTTTTTCGAAAAATTATAAAATTTGATTTTGTTGATTTTATTTTTTAATGAGAACCCGTATAAGTTAAAATAAAAATATTGTTAAAATAAAAGTACTGTTAAATGTAAATGTAAAGAAGCATGATATGCGTTTGTTTCAAATGAGTTTTTACACTGCAAAATTTTGTGATGACATTTTTTGCGACGACACGTATATCAATTTGGATAGGTGCAGTGCGGAAAACCTATTTTTTCGTACTGTAGGGGTCATGAATCGTCTGAATTAGAAAACAAGGCCGATAGTTAATTATTGTTTCCGGTTTACCACTAGGAAGCAACGTTTCTGTATTTAAATTATTATCAATCATTATACGAATAGAAGTCTAATTCTAGATCCTAGAAATGCTATGGATTAAGCTGCGCTGCATTTTAAAACTTCAAACTATTTCATACTGATTGATGTTTGACAAAAACGCAAACGTCCTATAAAGCACATCTAACACAAGAACTAATACTAATTTACCATCTAGTAACTTTTAAATTTACTTACTAGATGCGTAGGATCCGAATCCTCCGGACAATGATCCGCCAAAGCGGCCAGGAACTCCAGAGCGGCCAACAGGAAGAGACAGGCCGGAGGGACGTCGTACACGGGCCCTCGCACCGCCAGGCAACATTGGGCAAGCTGCTCGACGATGCCGACACACACGCAAAAGCTGGGAAAACGAGAAAAAATATATTTAGGGCATGTGTTTCGGATGGGTAGTGTCACGAGTAAAAGCGGCGCTAAGAGGCTGCAGATGACACATCTAATGTGATTATAGGGTGGGTTGAACCGTCGGCTGAAGTGCGGCATGTGCCAAGGCTCCCACACATGCCGACATAACTTATACACCTTATCAGATTAGAACGGTCATTGCGAGATGGCTAGTTAACGAGACAGATGTGACTGAGAACACATATGCTCGGTTCGGTCCCTTTGGACTTGATTCACACTAGCGAGAATGAGAATAAGGCCGCAGGTAGATTGGGCTACCTGTTGGTGTTAATGAAGTTAATGAAGACATTAAGGGGTTCGTGGGTGAAGAGAAAAAGTTGTATTATAAAAAGTAAGACTGTAATTTAATATAATCGTTTCTTTAGTTATTGAATAAAGTTTGTGTAAAAAACTTAATAATAAAATAGTGCGCATATGGTATATGTATACTTTTTAACAAAACAGAAGATCATCAAATTAAATTAACTTATTGCTCGCTAATTTTAGTTAAATAGACTGACCATCAAGTTAAAAATGCAGTTTTTTTAACAGTCGAAGTAATTTATTGTTATTAAAGCATTTATGCAAACCTTGAAATCAGACTTGAGGTGTAGGTCCGGGTAATTAAGTTCAAATTATCAAAAATTATAGTAGATATGGACTAGTAGATGAATATTTTTTACATTAAAATATTCTAAATCTGTACATTATGGAAGCGCATTTATTTGGTTTTTATACAACTATCCGATAATGCTATACGAGGGCTCGTACTAGGTCAGTTGGCCCAAGTGGGTAAATTTGAGTTTATGTGGCTCATGGACAGAATATAAAAATCAAATAATGATGTTGTAGGCGCTTTTAAAGGAGTCACTTTTGGTTCAGAAATTAGACAGTCTGTGGAAATTTACATCAAAACAGCTCACAATGATTTTTTTACATGAACATGGAGAGAAAAATGATAGATTATGTAATAATGTAATTTCCATTAATAAGAGAGTTTAATTAAGTTTGTATTAATTAATCTGTTTAATTCATGATTACATAAAATGTGAAAAATCCTTGACAGAACTAAAAAAGCAAATTTTTTGAATGATGTTACAAATTTTCGCCTCACCTCGGACAGAACTCGAGTATCTAAAAAATTATTCTAAACCACAGTTATCAAAAATAATTAAGCAGCGCTTTTTTTCATTCTAGAACCAGGTAGTAGGATACCGTGATATTTCATGGCCACTAGGAAATCAAAAAGTAAGTCTCCCGTTTCCGTCTGCGTTTACTTCGTCTGTTGGCGATTTTATTTAAATTCAATTTTATATTTTACAATTTACTTCGAAACTTCTAAACTAATTTCTTTAAATTTTGCAATGATTTTGCGGTTATCAGCTTACCAGATAAACTAACCCCAATTTTTGTATCTATCCTCACCAAAATGTTGACGGCGTCATCTCAAAATTTACTAAGTGACCCTATTTAAAATGATATGCGTCTATGTATTTTAATCTGAAATACAACTTTTAGACTTCCAAAGGGCTACTTTCATGTTTTCTCGACGTTTCATTACCGCTAGAGTATGAAAAAAAAAAGAGATCTCCTGTTCCCGTCTGTCAAAATATATATATGTATGTGAGGAATATTTGTCTGATCATCCCCACCAACAATTTAATGACGCAACCTCAAAGTTTTCTGTGTTAAATATAAATGTTATTTATATTTTATCAATTAACATGTTCCTGTATTTGTAGTTTATGAATATGTGTTGAGCAATTGCAAAACTGAAGTCTTGCAAATATGTTAAGATTATTAGAAGTATGGTAAATCGTTAATCAAAATTACTAAATATGTTTTTAAAATGTCTGTGTGTTTACGCTAGATATCTAGTTTTTGGGAAAAACAAACTGAGTGTGCTTAATTAAATTAGTACTCTTCTCTGCGCTGAAGAGACAAAATTAAAGTTCATTTTCTTTTATCCACTGATGCTTCTAATCTGAGCGTGCTAATAGTTGAATTCTTTCGAACTATAAACCTAAACAGTGGAAGTTAGGCATGTACTCAGAAACTGAGAATATCTACATATCTGTCCGGTGGTTATCTGCGTTAAATATACATTGCCAGACAAAAAAACCCGAACACTCGATTTTTATTTGTGATTACCTGCAATCGGTCGAACTTTTGTTAAAAATATTCCCAAATCATTAATGTACTCATTAATCGAAAATATAACTTCATTCTAGAACATGTGGAAACAGAAAAAAAGGTCTTTCGATTTTTTGTCCATCAAATGTCTTAAGATCTTAATTTCCTTTAAGTTTAGATTTCAAGGTTTTAAGGTCCAATCAAAAATTTTCGTCTTGATTTATTGTTCAACATCTTCTCTTTTATCTTTCTAGCATTTTTCTGAAGTTTCACTTTCACTTTATTTTATTTAATGTTTTGAAATACTTGGTTTCAAGAACCTAAAGTTTTGATTTTTTTTCAAAATCTCGTCTTTATTTTTTGTTTCAAATTTGTTTAATAATTTTTGATTAATTTTGAACTTTTTATTTCTTCGAGTTTGTCCTCGACAGTTCAGATTTTTTTCTAAACAAAATTTTTCATAAGATTAATCGCTTGTTTCAAAATTTGTATTTAGTTCTTAAAATTTTGACTTCTTTTCGAAAGCCTTTTAATATACCTAATGTCTCAGACATCGAGTTTTGGGACCTTTAAGTTTGGATTTAAAGGTTTTTACCCTAGAAATTTCACTTCAAAATTTTATTTTATTTATCCATTTTATTGAAATATTTGTCTCTTAATAACCTAAATTTTGATATTTTTTCAAAGTCTTTTCATTTTGTTTTGGTGTTTCAAATCTTTTCTGAAGGTTTTTTTTTGTTAATTTTAAATTTTTCATCATACTTGCTTTTTAAGAACCTAAAATTTTGATTTTTTTTTATCTCGTCTTTATTTCTTGCGTTTCAATTTTTTTCTGAAGACTTTTTATTAATTTTGAACTTTTTATTACATCGAGTCTGTCCTCGACAGTTCAGATTTTTTCTAAAATGTGTTTTTTTAATGATTATATTTTTCATATTATACACTTTTTTCCAAATTTGTATGTATATCTCAAAACTTCGAATTGTTTTCGAATGCCTTTTTATATTTTTGTCCCAGACATCAATTTTTGGGACCTTAAACTTTCTTTAAGTTTGGACTTCAAGGTTTTTTTTCTTAGAAATTTCACTTAAAAGTTTTGTTTTATTTACCTATTTTTTTGAAATATCTTTCTCTTAATAACTTAAATTTTGATATTTTTTCAAAGTCTCATCATTTTTTCGGGGGGTTTCAAATATTTTCTGAAGATTTTTTGTTAATTTTAAATTTTACATCATACTTGGTTTTTAAGAACCTAAAATTTTGATCTTTTTTTTTAATTTCGTCTTTATTTTCTGTGTATCAAATTTTTTCTGAATATTTTTTATTAATTTTGAACTTTTTATTACATCGAGCCTGTCCTTGACAGTTCAGAATTTTTTCTAAAATGTGTTTTTTTGATGATTATATTTTTCATATGATACGCTTTTCTCAAAATTTGTATTTATTTCTCAAAATTTCGACTTCTTCTCGAAAGCCTTTTGATATTTTTGTCCCAGACAAAGTTTTGGGACCTTAAACTTGCTTAAGTTTGGACTTCAAGGTTTTTTCCTAGAAATTCCACTTCAAAATTTGATTTTATTTATGTATTTTTTTGAAATATGTGTCTTTAAATAACTTAAATTTTGATATTTTTTATATATTTTTTTTAAGTCTCGTCATTTTTTTTTGGGTGTTTCAAATCTTTTCTGAAGATTTTTTTTGTTAATTTTAAATTTTTCATCATACTTGCTTTTTAAGAACTTAATTTTTTTTTATCTCGTCTTTATTTCTTGCGTTTCAATTTTTTTCTGAAGATTTTTTATTAATTTTGAACTTTTTATTACATCGAGTCTGTCCTCGACAGTTCAGATTTTTTCTAAAATGTGTTTTTTTAATGATTATATTTTTCATATGATACACTTTTTTCCAAATTTGTATGCATTTCTCAAAATTTCGACTTGTCTTCGAATGCCTTTTGATATTTTTGTTCCAGACATCAATTTTTGAAGGACCTTAAACTTTCTTTAAGTTTGGACTTCAAGGTTTTTTTTCTTAGAAATTTCACTTAAAAATTTTATTTTATTTACCTATTTTTTTGAAATATCTTTCTCTTAATAACTTGAATTTTGATATTTTTTCAGTCTCGTCATTTTTTTTTTGGTGTTTCAAATATTTTCTGGAGATTTTTTGTTAATTTTAAATTTTTCATCATACTTGCTTTTTAAGAACCTAAAATTTTGATTTTTTTTAAGTTCGTCTTTATTTTCTGTGTTTCAAATTTTTTCTGAAGATTTTTTATTAATTTTGAACTTTTTATTACACCGAGTCTATCCTCGACAGTTCAGATGTTTTTCTAAAATGTGTCTTTTTGATTATTATATTTTTCATATGATACGCTTTTTTCAAAATTTGTATTTATTTCTCAAAATTTCCACTTCTTTTCAAAAGCCTTTTGATATTTTTATCCCAGACATCAAGTTTTTGCGACCTTAAACTTTCTTTAAGTTTGGACTTCAAGGTTTTTTTTCCTAGAAATTTCACTTCAAAATTTTATTTTATTTACCTATATTTTTCAAATATTTCCTTAATAACTTAAATTTTGATATTTTTTCAAAGTCTCGTTATTTTTTTTTTAAGATTTTTTTTTGTTAATTTTAAATTTTTCATCACTTCGATTCGGGTGTGTCCACAAAAGTTCAGATTCATTCTTATTTTTTTACCAATGATTAAGACTAATTTCTATTTCTTGTTTTTTTTTTCAAAATTTTGATTTCTGTTCAAGAACCATTCAATATTTTTTTCGAAGGCATCAAGTTTTAAGGTCTTAATTTCCTTTGAGTTCAAAGT